GGGCGTGGCTAAAGGGCTAAATGCTCACCTTGTTGGCCCGGTATAAAACCATAATATATAAAAGTGGAGTCAGAGTATATGGAATAAAAGTCAGAACATACGGAATAAAAATCTGAATATATGAATGATACCTGAATATATGGAATAAAAATCTGAATATATGAATGATACCTGAATATATGGAATAAAAATCTGAATATATGAATGATACCTGAATATATGGAATAAAAGTCTGAATATACGGAACAAAAGTCTGAATATATGGAATAAAAGTCTGAATATATGGAATAAAAGTGGTTTAAAATAGGGCGTGGTTAAAGGGCTTGTGGTCTAAAGAGGGCGTGGTTTTAAAGAGGGCGTGGCTCAAATAGGGCATGGTTTAAAATAGGGCGTGGTTAAAGGGCTTGTGTTCTAGAGCAGTGTTTTTCAACCTTTTTTGAGCCAAGGTACAGTTTTTCATTGAAAAAATCTCGAGGCACACCACCATCCAAAAATATTAAACAAATCTTTATCCGCCTATAGTAACACTACAGTTATTCTTATTTTATTCTTATCTTATCTTAAGTGTCTTGAATAGGAATCAAATAAACACAAAAATGTATTTTTATCATATTTCATATTTCTTCTTTCAAATTGTACTTAACATTATATACAAAATCTAGTCATAAGGAATTATTACATGATTACGCCACCAGTCACTAGAACAGCACAGACACTCAAAAATTGAATATTATTTGCAGAAAATTATCCCAAATTTTTTTTTAGACCAATTAAGTGAAATAGGATGATTTTCTAAGGCACACCTGACCATCACTCGCGGCACACTAGTGTACCGAGGCACAGTGGTTGAAAAACACTGTTCTAGAGGGCGTGGTCTAAAATGGGCGTGGTCTAAAGGGGGCGTGGCTAAAGGGCTAAATGCTCACCTTGTTGGCCCGGTAGTGCTCCTTGACCCGCGGCTTGAGCCCGATGTGCAGGTAGAGCTGGTCCTTCTGGTTGTAGCGCGTCCACGCCACCTCCTCAAAGCGGTTGGGCTTGGTGTGGATGAACTTTGTGTCCTGGGGAACCGGCTGGTTCGGGTCCCTGTAAAATAAGGAGGAACCGGGAAAAAATAAGAAAACAAAACGCAAAAAATTAAAAAAAAAGTTGTGAAAATACAGGAATCTAATGGTGAAATAAAACTCCCGGTTTTTAACCCTTTAAAGCCTGATCCAAGAATAAAACAAAACAGAAAATTACTTTTTTTTTTTTTGAATTCCTTAACAAAATATGTAAAAATAAAAAACAGAAATACATTTTTGATATTAACCCTATAATGTCAAATGTATCATATCTGATTCATACGGTTTCTGAAATGTTTTGCGTCTGACTCCTTTTGCATAATTTAATGGTAAAAACTTTACTCAAAATCCTATTGAACACAATCAGATACACCTGATAACAGGGGGCAGAAGATACACAAAAAATAATCTGGACTTATCGCGTAGTAATAAATAACTTTAATCAGGTTTGGATGAACTTGGTGTCAAGAGGAGGAACCGGGAAATTATCAGTGAAAAAATAAGAAAACAAACCCAAAAAATGTTTTAAAAAATTGTGAAGATACAGGAATTTTAATATATTAAGACAGTGTTTTTCAACCTTTTTTGAGCCAAGGTACTTTTTTTTTTATTGAAAAAGTCTCGAGGCACACCACCAACCAAAAATGTCAAACAAATCTGTATCCGCCTATAGTAACACTATAGTTATTCTTATTTTATTCTTATCTTATCTTAAGTGTATTGAATAAGAATCGTATAAACACAAAAATGTATTTTTATCATATTTTATATTTCTTCTTTCAAATTGCACTTAACATGTCCACTTCAATATACAAAATTATATACAAAATCTAGTCATAAGGAATTATTACATGATTACTCCACCAGTCACTAGAACAGCACACACACTCAGAAATGGAATATTATTTACAGATAATTAATTATCAAAAAATCTTTTTAGACCAATTAGGTGAAGTAGGATGATTTTCTACACCTGACCATCACTAACGGCACACTAGTGGTTAAAAACACTGTATTAAGACATGAGAATTGTTTTTTTTTTTTTTTTACAAGCTTTGTGAGCTTGTGAGAAGAGTTTTGAAGATAAAAAAATAGAAGTTTTGAGACAAGAAAGAGAGAAAAATCTGCAGAAGAGTTATCTTAATTATATATCCATGAAGATAAAAGATTTCGTACTAGTTTTACTAAAGACACAGCACTAAAAACTTTCTTGTAACTCATTCATTTGGACTTTAACCCAGTTTGAAACGGATTTCAGTGCAAAAACATGAAGAAAATGGACATTTAAAAATAGTTTCTCAGTCATTGCATCATCCCGGGCCTCTGTATTTATTCCTGTCTAATCCATTTTGACTTATTTTGTCCTTTTGGGCATTATTGGGCAGCAGAAGCAGACATTTGGCCCCAGTAACCTTTAAACATTCAGCTGCTTTAAGGCATGACACATAGCTGTTTTATTAAAGCTTTCCCCAGAAATAGCCGGAGCCATTAGCGTGCACGTCTCCATCAACATGCAACGTGCATTAAAAGCCCCTAAAACATTGATAATCCCACCACAGATACAGTGGGGGAAATAAGTATTTGATATCTGATTTTGCAGGTTTGCCCACTTACAAAGAATGCAACGATCTATAACTTTAATCATATGTACATTCTAACAGTGAAAGACAGAATCCCAAAGAAAATTCCAGAAAATCACATCATATGAATTTATAAAAATTGATAACCATCTGATGAGGAAAAATAAGCATTCTTTGTAAGTGGGCAAACCTGCAAAATCAGCAAGGGGTCAAATACTTATTTCCCCCACTGTAGATGGAATGATACCTGAACATATGGACTAAAAGTCTGAATATATGGAATGAAACCTAAATATATGGAATAAAAGTCTGAATATATGGAATGAAAGTCAGAACATACGGAATAAAAATCTGAATATATGGAATAGAAGTCTGAATCTATGGAATAGAAGTCTGAATATAAGGAATAAAGGTCAGAATATATGGGATAAAAGTTTGAAGTTTGAATCACATCATATGAATTTATAAAATTTATAAAAATTGATAACCATCTGATGAGGAAAAATAAGCATTCTTTGTAAGTGGTCAAACCTGCAAAATCAGCAAGGGCTCAAATACTTATTTCCCCCACTGT